CCCCAAAACCCCAAAACCCCAAAACCCCAAAACCCCAAAACCCCGCAAAAAACTCTAAATATAGAAGGAGCTTTAGCAAAAACAATAATTATTTTCAGCAAAAATGGGTAAAACAGTCAAGGAGATTATTGAAGAAGAGTACGGAACCAATATTGATGAGTACAAAGATGATGTAAGACCCTTCTAGATATATTCCTGCTATTTTGTGCTTTGGCCAAAAGGCAGAATCAGAGAATACAATTTCGCCGTGCTCATAGATACACTATTTTGATTTCAGAGATTTTATTCATTTATATAGTTCACTGCCTTAGTTGTTGAAGCTGAGGATATCATCGAGCTTACCGAGGAGGATAAGAAGTTCTTGGAGAACTTCACTAAGGTCACCAACCTGTCAATTGTATCCTGCAAGCTGAAGAGTCTAAACAATTTCCCTGACTTTGAAAATCTTGAGAGGGTAAGTCCTTTCCTCATCCCAATAGTTAGAGTTGGCCGACAACAATATTGCTGGAGGGCTTGGAGCATTATCAAAATATCCTAATCTAAAGAACCTGAAGTTATGAGGCAACAAGATAAAGTCAATTGATGACGTTGCTGAGTTGGTAAGTCCCGCCTTGTATCATCCTACAGAAGCCTTTATCCAAACTTGAAAATCTAGACTTTATCGAGACTCCTCTCTCCAAGACAGAGGACTACAAGAAGAAGATCTGGGAGCTATTCGAGAACCTAAAAGTGCTAGACAACTTTGATAAGGACGGAGAGGAATGCCTCTCTGAGCTCGATGCTGACGAAGCTGATGGTGAAGGTGAAGGAGACCTCGGCGATTTCATTGACCCTAAAGATCTCACAGAGGAAGAAAAGCAAAGACTTGAGAAGCAAGGACTCAAATTTATTGAGGGAGAGGGCGAAGATTATGATGATGAAGGTGAAGAACAAGAGGAAGAAGATACCGCCAAAGCAGGAGAGAAGAGAGCCAGAGAAGATGACCCAGAGGAATCCGGCAATAAGAGGCAGAAAACTGAGGAGTAAGGTGCAGAGGATGGGCTGTTGGTAGCTATTGTTAATTTAAAACTTAAAAGCAGCCATTTCAGTTTAAAATTAAAAATACCAATTTTGTATCGTAGAAAGGGGTTTTGGGGTTTTGGGGTTTTGGGGTTTTGGGGTTTTGGGGTTTTGGGGTTTTGGGG